GGATGTGGAAATTGAACTGTTGGTGACCAAGGCATTGTAAATATCATATGTAAAGGTATTTGTAATTTTTGTGCACAATGAATATGACCATATGATGGCGGATTTGCAATAATAGCTTCAGCAACAAATGATACACCTGTTTCATCATCATCTTCTATACATGCTTTCCATGTTGATTGAAGAATTTCAGCAATAACACGACGACTTTTAACAACATCACCTGCTACAATACTACTAACTGATGGTACAATACCAGCATTTTTAACCATAAATGACATAAGACTAGCTGGATCACCAGCTAATGGATAAAATTCAATACCATTTTCACGAACAAATTTTCGAAAAACTTCATGTGTTGCAAGGCGAACTCGATGGCCATGTTCAAGAAGTGCTTTAGCAAGAGCAATAAATGGTTGAACATCACCACGTGTACCAACAATAAGCATTAAAATGGCAAGACGAGGTATTGGACCATCTATTATAGGTATCATATTAACATTTTCATTATGAGAATTTCGATTTTTATAATGTTCAATATCAATATTATTGTCGTCAATGTATTTCGTTAATGAATGAATAAAAACAGCAATGAGTCCATCGGAATCATCAAAACTTGCCATATAATCAAGACTTTTTCTTTGTCCCTTTTTTATTATATTTTCTTCAAGTTCATCAAGATCAACTTGACCAGATAAGTGATGTTGTAAAAGTAAACGAGCATGTAAACATAGTCGATATCCATATTTAGAATAAATCACAAGTAAATTTTCTTTATCATATTTTATATATTTCGTTAAATTAACTGGTTGTGATAGTGTATCAGAAAAAATTTTATTTTCATTTAACCATATTGTAATAGCAGGTATTTTTATATCTAAGTCATCATTTTTATTTTGCTTATTATTTTTAGATATAAATTCAAAATGCAAATAAATATTGTGATATTTATCAAGTATTTCTTTTAAATTAAATCGTTTTCTATACCAATATGAAACACATATTGAAGTAAATTTTTTTGATTTATTATTATTATAGTGTGGTAATTGAATATTTGTCCAATCTTGATCATTATATGAAAATAAAATAAATTCATTATCATATGAAGATATATTTGATAAACAAATATATCGCCAATCATTATCAAAGTCAATAGTAGTTGTTACATCTTTAATATCATTTTTAAACATTTCTTTTTGTTTTGTATTATTTTAATGAATAGATATATCACAACAGTTCTAAAAAACAAATTAAATTTTCTATATTTTATTCAAATAAATAAACAACCAAGGAATTGTTTCAATTTAAGTATTCATGCTTGCTTCTTACTCTTTGTTTGCTTATAGAAAAGAAACTGAATTGAAAAATAATGTTCCTTTCGCTTTTTCTTTTCTCTTTTCTTCTTTGAACTTCTCGCTTGTTCTTGTCCATTGTGTGTGTTTACGTAATGTATATATATTTATATGTGCACATGTTTCGTCATCGAACATTCATTGCCTTGACTAGGTAATAAAGAATCATGAATAAATATTCGTATTAAAGAAAATATTGTTAACTGTTCAATTGAAAATTGATTTAGAGAAAATCAATATAGAAAAAAATGTATCATTAGTCATATCAGAAATATATTATGTCTATAGTGCAAATCACTTCGTTTTTCGAGTAGACATAAAATCAATTATAAACATTGATTAGATATATGTATCAAAATTATTCTGTCTTGTAACCCACGTGAAAGTCATAATCATCATTTATATACCAAAATAAATAGAAGTTCTGCTGTCGCTAGAGAAAAATTCTATAGTAAGTTTTCAACTTCTTAAAAAATGTTCAAATAAAAATTGGTAGAATGTATGAATGTTTCTATGTTAGAAAATTAAATTTAAAATTTTTATCTTCATAAAGGTGTAAAATTCAAAAGTATCGAAAACATGCTGCCACCCAAGCAGACAAACATTTTCAAAAACGCGTTTAAACGCACAAAAAAGGGCTTAAAATCCATAAAAAGTGGACGTGTTCGACTCACAATCGCGGTCGCCGACTGTCAGCGAAAAACGACCACTTTTTGCCCTTTTTATGCGTTTAAACGCGTTTTCAGCAAAAAAACGGTGATAAACGCGTGTAAACGCATAAGACGATCATAAAAAGTAGTCATCTTTTTCATACTCATAAATCACAACCATAATTACAATCACAGTTCACGAAAAGGAAAAGGATAACTACTTTTTATGTTCTTTTTATGCGTTTATACGAGTTTATAAGCGTGTTTTTGCTGAAAACGCGTTTAAACGCACAAAAAGAGCAAAAAGTGGTCGTTTTTCGCTAAGAGTCGGGAACCGCGATTGTGAGCCAAACTCGTCCACTTTTTATGGATTTCAAGCCCTTTTTTGTGCGTTTAAACGCGTTTTTGAAAATGTTTGTCTGCTTGGGCAGATTAGAACGTAAATTTTATTATTATTATTTTTGTTAACTATGGTAACCAATTGTTTTTCTGAAATATAATATATAAGTAAATGAACGACTTAATATTGAAATATAAAACTTTTTGATTTTAACAGCAGCGAAAATGTTTTCTAATTGACAATATCAGCTAAGAAAGACTATCGAAAATGACAGAATTTACTTTTGCAGAAAAACTGCAAAAGTAAATTCTGTATAGACTATCTTTATGATGGAACTAACTGATATTGTGCAATTACATCGGCACTATTACATAGTGATATATACACCACGACCATTGAATGTTTTTCGTTCTTCGTATAGTATACATATAGGCTGTTTATAACTAGCGAACTATTGTTTCCACTATACGATGACATCATTATACATTCTTTTGTTTTCTATCTTCCATCTATATGAGATAGATTGCAAAAGTGAATTCTGTCATTTTCGATAATCTTTCTTGGCTGATATTGTCAATTACAAGAAAATTTTCGCTACTGTTAAAAATAAAAAGTTTTATATTTCAATATTAAGTCGTTGATTTACTTATATATTATATTTCAAAATAACTATGGCAGCATATATGGACGCATTTCGATACTAAGTAAAGGATTATTTTCGATCTATCTCGTATAGATGGAAGATAAAAAGAAAAAAGAATGTATAATGATGTCATTGTATAGTAGGAACAATAGTTCGCTAGTTATAAACAGCCTATATGTATACCATACGAAGAACGAAAAACATTCAATGGTCGTGGTGTATATATCACTATGTAATAGTGCCGATGTAATTGCACAATATCAGTTAGTTCCATCATAAAGATAGTCTATACAGAATTTACTTTTGCAGTTTTTCTGCAAAAGTAAATTCTGTCATTTTCGATAGTCTTTCTTAGCTGATATTGTCAATTACAAAACATTTTCGCTGCTGTTAAAATCAAAAAGTTTTATAATTGTTTTTCTTCTACAAAACCCAATTTGGCAAAACTAATACTCTAGGTCGACGTAGGTTCTCATATTCTACTCATTAACGTATATGATCATGCTTATCAATTACTTGATGTAAGGTTACATAGGCACGATATCGTCCCCATACAGCCTTGCATAAAGTGATTGATGAGCATAATCATTACGTCATTTTGTAGACCATGAAAAATTACGTCGATTTATAGTATTAGTTTTCATATTAAGTTTATAAACGAAAAAGATATGGCTAGCTACCATACTTGACGGAAACCACAAACAAATGTCCAGAAAAATGCAAAATTTCATGCTCTATTTTTGTAACCTCTTGAAACTGGAACCTAACGGGGTAGCAGGTTCACGCTCTAATCCGATTGCATTCTTTCTTGACATTTTGCTATTGAAATTAAAGTAAAAAATAAATGTTACACATTTGAAGAAATTATCTGTATTTTAGAATAAATGCTAAATATATTCAAGCATTATAGATGTATACATATGTGGGATTTCAAAACATAGATTATTTTTTATCTGCACATTAGGTTACATGAAATACAATACAAAACAACAAAATATAAAGGGTCTTCTATCAATTTACATACAACAACAACAACAACACACAACAACAAAAAAAAACCAAGTTATTGAGGTGTTGCTGAATGGCTACGTTGACGTTGGAACATTTTCCTACATTTTGTCCTTTTTGTTCCTTTTGAGTTTTCATTACCATTTTTCGAAGTATATCGACTTTTAATTTGTTCGAATTCATTTAATATTTTTTCACATATATCAATTTTTAGGCCTGATTCGAATGATGCTCGATATTCAAGTGACGTATCTTCGTCCATAATCCTTGATTCAGATGATCTTCGTATCTGCTGAGGTGAATGTAATACTGTTAATTGATGATTTGAATTTGCATCTTTATTTCGTGATGAATTTTTAGTTTGAGCATAAATACCTCGACCTAACCAAGTTAATGAAGCCAATGTACCAACAGCAGGTTTAATAACAATACTTGGTATCGCAGCAGCTGCACCTGCTGCTCCACCTAAAATACCATGTCTTTGATAACCTATTCGAGGCTTATTTACAATCCCAATAACACCATCTTTAATCCCATGCCATATAGAAAGTTCAGCAGCTTTTGCACCAGAACTAAAATTTTTTACATGTGGTCTTTTACGTTTATCTGAATCAAAATATGGATCATATAATTCGGGTACACGTTCAAGTGCATCTGTTACTTCACCATAAAATGATAAACAACCGACATATACATGTCCAAGACTTTTCCCCACACCTTTAATAATACATTCTGTACCATCAAGTGTACCTGTTATTAAACTATTTGAACTTGCTGCCTTTTTTAAACCTTGTGGCGTATCAATAAATAAACTTTGAAGAGCTTCACGTCCATGTTTTATGAAACCATGTATTGGTATATGTCGACGATCATCATACATAGATGCACTCCAATCACGAGTAACAAGTAATGTTAATTCAGATTCTTTAATAGCTCCAGCAGCAAGAAGTACTTGAGCAACTGGACGTGAAATTTGTAAATTATAATCATTTAATCGAAAACATGCACCAAATGATGATTCAAGATCACTACGCATTTTACTTAATGGTAAATTTGCATGAAATGAACGAATGGCAGCTTCACAACCATTTTCATTTTGAAATGCAATACTTAATTTATGAGCAGCTTCACGTGTGCCTGGTTCATGTGCAATTTTAAATGCTTCAATTAAATCATTCACATTTAAACGTTTACCAGGAATTGGTGGTGGACCAGCACCACTTTTACTAATCATTGATCCCCAAAAGAATTGATCACCAAAAAATGGTACTATAATAGTAGGTTTTCCAGCACGAAGACCAGCTGCAGTTGTACCTGCACCACCATGATGACATACAGCTGCCACTAGAATATATATTAACAGTTGCTTTTTTAGAATTAAACAAAAAAAAAAGATTTACCATGTTGAAAAAGCCAATCATGTGGACAATTACCAATGCGAAATACATTACTAGGCAGTGCATCAGTTTCTTTAGCTAATCCAGATAATATAGCTCGATATCCAGTAGCTATTAAAGCTTTTAATACGATTCGCAAGATTCGTTCAGAATCATGACCAGTAATTGAACCAAAACCAATATAAATTGGTGGATCACCTGATTCAAGAAACTGAATAAGATCTTCCGGTGGTTTATAATTTGTTGCAAGATCAAGAAAGAAAAATCCAGATACATCAATATTTGAAGGCCAATCAGTTGGTTTAGGAACAAGCGAAGGTGACCAACAATATGTATGGGGTACATGTTCGTCTATCATTAAACGAACAGCTTGGCGAGTATGTAA